TCATCGACTCCTATCGAAACAGGGAGATACACTGTACCCAAGACTCCCGAACACTTAAGAATCTGTTCCTTATGTCAAGCTAATGAAGTTGAAGATGAATGTCATGTTATGTTTTCTTGCACTCTGTATGATACGCTTCGCAACAAATTTTTTGATGAAATCATTAAGAAATATAACTTTTTTAACGATTTAGATGTCAAATCAAAAATTTGGTTCCTATTTAACAATATTGATCCATTTATTTGTAAAACAGTTGCTGCTTCTTTTTTTGAGATTATGAACACGATAGACACGATCATGTAATATCAAAAGTGTTAACTAATTACTTAATTATTTACCTTTTTTAAGAGAATAGGTAATGCCATGCATAAAAATGGAAACACCCCAATAATTGTTGTTGTTGCCACACGAACAGACGGTGGTCTCGCCTCCAGGAAACCGTTATTGCTCCCAGAATACCCGAACGATGACCGACAGACCACTCCCTTCACAAAGTGACGGCGCTGGCATGCAATTTCGACGCTTTCTGATTGGCTAGATATATTAGCTACTTGCGAGTACAATTGCTCTAGAGCAGATCACCAAGGATTGGATAAAACCTGTTCCTATATAAAAACACCTATCCGGCTTATCCTGGTGGAATCTGCTCGGACAATTCAGTAAAGTAGTGAACAATGTAAGGCTGAATTTCGTCGGGACCTCTTCAAGGAAACTAAGAGACAGGCCGCTGCAATTCAAAACCCAAGAAACAAAATATAAGATTAAAAAAACTGCAATAAATATAAGCTGTGTAGAAGGAACTGATAACTTAAGATTACAATAAAAGAGAAAACAGCGGCGACCTAGAAACGTTTACATCATACCCGGTTTAAACCCAAACGTGTCAATATACGTAAAGAATTGTAAACCTTATCTAGTTGGCAACTAAACGTCCACTGTTTTCACTTTTATTGTACGTACACTCGGCTGGTACATCAAATGGGACGGACCATTTTGGTTTCGTCCGATCGGAATATTCAGTACCAGCTTTGAAGGTGGTCTACTTTGATAGGTCTGGTCATTTCGGTGGGTCTGGACCGAAATCTCCCCTTCCATTAAAGAAAATTACTGTCCCCAGTGTCGCTCGTTTGTGTCCTTATTACAACTCCGGTGAATTAGCGAATGGTACACTGCCAATTTGGAGGGGGGTGGTCTGTTTTACTAGGGATTTTACCTTTCGCATATATCTACTCCCCATAAGCCAACCTCGTCCCCAGGGCTTTTCCCTCAAAAAAAGCATTCATTTTTCATGATTTTTAAGGTATTATATTTGTCACGTGACTCGCCACACCCATTTTTGACTTTTCATTTCAATCCAAATTTACGCCACTTCATAAATAGCACTTGTAATTCAATGTAATTCAAAGTCAACACTTGTAAGTCGATGACTATGGACACAAAGTTTGGGGAATTAATAGGGATTTTCTTAAATTATCTACGTTTAGTAAACTATAACGTTTCTTGTTAAGAGGGAGACTGAGGCGAGAGAAAAATATCTAATAATTACAAAGGAAGGGATCATTTCACAAATCCTCGATTAATTCAGCTTGTTTGACTGTAAATAAAATATCACAAAGAAAAACGATTGTGGTCACATTTATTAAAGTGGTGTAATATGCAAAGTCCAAATTTTCCATAATTATAGGCGTGGATGGTCACGTGATCTAAAAAAGTCTTGTTCAGGGTCCAAAGTGGTTCTGGTCTTAAACACAGCAATCTAAGGTTAAAATAAAGGAAGATAATGGAAAAAACAAGTTTAAATCATGGAACCCCGCATGTAACGTAGACCCATGCCTTAATTCACCTGAAACGCGCAATAACCATACGCTCGGTGGCTTGGGTCGGCGCTGAGGCGTTCCATTGGGCAAGTGAAAATTCCAAAATTTCAAAGCGGGAATTAGTTGAATGGAAATCGACCATGCGTCTTGCAACCCAGAGTTCTAACAACCAGAGGTTCTTTACAACCAGAGGTTCTCACAACCGGGGGTCTTACAACCAGGGGTCCTACAACCAGGGGTTCTTACAACCAGGAGTCTTACAACAGGGGGTCTTACAACCAGGAGTTCTTACAACCGGGGGTGTTACAACCAGAGGTCGTACAACAAGGGGTCTTAAAACCAGCGGTTCTTACAACCAGGGGTCTTACATGAAGGGGTTCTTACAACAAGGGGGTCTTACAACAAGGGGTCTTACAACAAGGGTCTTACAACCAGGGGTCTTCCAAAAACGGGTCTTACAACAAGTGGTTCTTACAACCAGGGGTCTTACAACCAGGGAGTCTTACAACAAGGGGTCTTACAACCAGGAGTCCTTACAACCAGGGTTCTTACGAGTGGTTGTCAGAGAAAACCGGGCAAAATCTTAAAAATGTCAACGGAAGGGGGTCAACAGAATAAGTTCATACTAACATCATAGATAGGTTAGGTGCAGTAATGGACAAATATAATAAACATAGGTTCTT